GACACAATGGCGTAGTGAAGGGACTTTCACCTGACCAAACAGCTTCTCATCCACTTCCGCCGTATAAATATGATACGCGCAAATATACACTCTCTATATGTCTTTAAAATACTAAAGTCTATATTGATAGGTCTCTTTTTGAAGTTCCATGAGCTTTTACTTCCCCTCAGCTCCCAGTGGACTACTTTGGAGCACTTTCGAGAACAAAACTGACTCTACAGTTAATGGAAGGCAATCCGATGCATTCACCAACAATAACTACTACCAAAAAAGGAAAGTGAAAACTCAACAAAGTTTAAATACGTCTACCACTTCATTAAACCTTCAAAAAGGACATGCCCTCTCTGAGCGAAGCGATCTCCGTTTATCCATCACGACGAAGCACCGACCGCATAAATAACCTCTCGGAGTTGAGTTAGCATAGGGAAACGGCATCCTAATCCATAGAGGCCGTAATGGGAGGTTCGAATTTAAAGGACTGAAGCAGGAGGACAAATCTGAGCAATAATATACATTAGACCTTTCTCAGGGGCGGAAGTATGGTAGTGGCAATTGGGACGCTTACCACGAGCGCGGTCCTGGGATCGAATCCTGGGTGGTGCTCCGGGTTAATTGGTACCAGACTTGTCTGGGAGGATAAAAACACTGACTTGTACATCGGCTGGCCCCCGCAAGTCATTGTATAGGCCACATCGCATTCAAACGCCACTACGAATGTACAAATGGAAGTAGAATGCGTGCCGCATCCCAAAAAGGGATTGATCAACGGCAAATGCTTTATCCTTTGGATTTAAACCTTTCTCATGTGTAGAATTATTTTTTTTCATTACTCTTCCAACAAGGAAAGGATTTCAAGTCGCCATGGCCAGTCAAGGAGCGATGTATGTACACGTTCTGAACGCTGATCTCAATCGTGCCTTGTAAATTCCCTCAGTGATTCAGAGCTGTAGTGGTTGAGGCTCGAAGTCAAGACATCGTGAATCCTTCCCCTTTTGAGTTTGCTATTTTGTTTTCCCAGAAATACAGCTGAATACCTTTCACCAGTCTATTTACGGAGTGTTTGGAGTTGGCGATCGTACGTGCGATCAGGCGATAAGGCGATTAGGCGATTAGGCGATCGCTCAATGGGCGGAGCAACAAATCAATACGTATCCTTCCCTCATCGCCTACTCGCCTTATCGCTTAATCGCACGAACATCGCCAACTGTGAACGCTCCATTAGCCGTTTTCCCGAAAATTGAAGCAGTAAACACGATAAGGGATCGATCCTACGACGTATTTACTATGTTACAAACCACTACGCTTGCGCTGTTTTGCTTCATAACTCCGTTCAGAAAATCGTTTAGCAGATTTGGAAGGCAGATTTGAGGTCAGCGTCCAAAGGCACGGGCTAGGTGACCTCCTTACTAAATTGCTGTGGAAAGCTGAGATCATTTTGTGAGCTTTTTGCAAAACAACAGGTCCCCAGAAGAAGTGGTCAGCGCTGACGTAAAACGCCTATAGCAAAGGCTCTTCTGGACGGGGCGAGCGAGGGAAATGTTTGTTACCTTCGCGATCGTAAGCGACCGGTCAGTCTTGAAGTACGTCTAAAGAGAATTTTGCAGATGTTCAAAAATACTATACTTATTGGGCAGACACCCAGGCTTCCGTGCTCTCCTGGTGCGATGTCCGCAAAAATAAACTCTGTGAGAAAATTCGTTCAGCTCTATGCTAGCTCTTTTAGCTTTCTGCAGCCTCCTTCAATTTACCTTGGCTTTTCTCATGGAAATTCAAAGAGCGAACTATTCGGACAAGTTCGCACGCACGAAAATGCTGCCCTTGGCAGCAGCCGCCTACAGTAACTGGCCCCAAGAGTGCCTCGAGAATCGCTTCGCAAACGCAACGGTAGGTTACCGGGTTTGAGAAACGGCTAGGGAATTCGTCAAACTGAAACTATTCGATTCACCGTATCGCATTCCAGCTGCAAACGGTCAAGTGAATGTCGGCGCGTCGATGCTGCACGCAAGCAGCGATGTCATCAGTTTTCGTCGAGAAATAGTTCACATGAAATTTATCTAAGAACTCGCAAAAAGAACATTTCCAAGTACCACCCGCTTGGACGAAATTCAGTAGAACGGGCCACGTTTCCACCGCCTGTCTGAAGCGACCCTTAAGCGTGCTTCTATAAAAGCGATTTCAGAACCATTCTCAACTTACAACATTTGCTGAGGAAATCATCATTCACGAGTTCCTAGAGCTCGGTCACTTTAAATCGTTGGTCAAATATTTCGATGAAAACACAACCCAGAAATCAAAATAAGCGATCACTATCAGGGTGTACAGCGATCACGCCAAACCATAGCATCCAATCCAGTTCACAACAATTGCGGCAAATTCAAAGCTAGGAAAGGAGAAGAGTCCGATATCCAAAGGCTTCTGACCGTATTTCAAAACAGAACAAGTGTTATTCGGAACCTATTTTTCAAAGTTTTATTGAAGACGTTTCGCCTAAACCCTTCTTCAGATCAACTGAAATACCATAGCACAATTACATCACATTCAATCAATCGCTTTCCTCAACACATAAAAAAAAAGCCCATGTAGCATATCCCATCTCATTTTCTTGCATCAGACCCTCGTCGCTCCTCTCCCGTCCTTTCCACTAGACACCGTGAGGACACACGGTATGTCAATTTTTCATGGGTAATTGCGCTAGGATCAGTTCTCTGAAGAAGGGCTAGGCCGAACGTCATCAATAAAGTTGTGAAAAAGAGTCAACAATAACACTCGTTCTAAATTGAATTACGAAGCTCAGGGAACCAAAAATATATACGTAACCGTATTTTTGTCTGCAAGTTGATTGTTTAGCAGGAAGAATAGACGGCTTTTACAAGGAGATTACGCCCATGGTGGATCTGGAGAATTATCAACAAAGCGCCGTTTTCGAAAGAAGCCGCGTTTTTCCTTAAGTGTATCGCTCCATTGTATTAGATCAGATACACTTGTTGAATTTTCAGCACTACAGTTACTCATCACCATTCTGATGCGTCGACTACAGGAAACTCGGCCTGTTACGGGGCTAGGGGAAAATTCCTAGTGGCTCATATGCGAACAGCTTACCGATTGTGTTAACCAAACCTTCCACATGTTGAACTTGATAGTTTTCCCCTTCAATTCAAGCCAGCCACTGTTGGCGTAATGCCATCACTTCTGATTTGCAGTACCGCTTTCTGCCCCGCGTACCTGGAAGGATGTGAGCGGAACCACCTCTGTCTCGTGACTAGTGGTCAACTTTGACCCTTTTTCCAATTACTGGAATTTTTTCAAAAGAACCAATTTGTCCTCTATCACTTGTGTACTAAAAATTTTAAATATGGCGACCACAGCAAGTTAAATCGCACAGGTCTGCTTTACTGGGAGAGCACAGTAGGTCCGGAATCTGCACTGATCGCTACCCTGGACTAGGATTTTCTTCTAGGAGGCAATTTCCTGAGTGTAGGAGGTTAGTCATTCTGATGTCGCATGGTTTATACCAACAAGCAAATATACCGCGAAGCAAGTGCGAACTTTAGAGAGACTCTGATAGAATTATCACCAGTCTATAATGTACAAAAGCTTCTCAGTATGCGCCATGCACGTGGCGGACATTTGATATCGATCGGTCAATACGACGTTCATCTTCTGCGAAGTATGCATTGGAAACTTAGTGGAATTAAATCAAAAAGTGCGCCATAAAAATACCGAGATGTGCAGAGTATTTATTTATAGTATATTTATTTATTTCTTTAGTATTAATATTTGATTCGACATTTGAGGAATCCGGACAAGAATTTGCTCGGTACTTTGGTTCCGATAAGCTTCAAAGACAAACTCATGCCCTTGTTGTGGGTAGCCAAATTAGTTCCGTCTGTCGACCCAGTCCACTCTTTGAAATTTTCCATTGTAAACAAGTGCATGGCGTGCCCTTATAGTCTGTGTTGGTGATGTTGTTGTAAATTTTTCCAGATTCAATGGACTGCTGGTGGATACGTATCGAAATATTTTACGATGGTTTTATGGGTTTGCGGAACGCCAGTATGAGGGAAGCTCAACGAAAAATATCCCGAGTACGAAGTTTGGGTAAGCGAATCACATCCGAGTTTCATTGATTTGATGAGATAATCGATTACTAAGTTATGGAGAAAAAATTGAACTATGTAATGATGAGGCGCACATCTTCTTGAAACTGCGGCGACTCATTGAAAAAAAAATCACTGCACATTTTTCAGGTGACTGGGCACTCTCTTGGAGCCGCAATGGCCTCACGGGCCGCTTCCTCAATTATTGCCGACAATCAGGTTCCATCCAGTCGCGTAAAATTGGTCACATTGGACAACCATGAGTTGCTGACTATCATTACGCGTGGGAGCATGATCTACGGGTACTTGTGGAGCCAACGCGCTGTAAATTTATCAGGCCAATTCTTACTCCGGAGTTTCGGTAACCTGGATGCTGACACAGGAAGGCCTCCATCTCTCAGAAAACATGAGAGACGGAATTTCCGAGTATGTTAAAGAAGATAAGGAGTTGCCTGTTTTAGATGGCGTACGGTCTCCGTGTAACGTACTGGAGAGACGTGGTGTCACATATTTCACCCGAGTACTTCTTGCACTACTACCATCACGCTTCAGAGGTTCGTTAAGTAATCAGTACTAAGACTTTTCGAGGCAGAGGAAAGGCTAACTGACTACAGTGGCTCTTATAACTGTGGTGCAACTTGAACCAACCAACCGCTTGTAATCAGCAAAGAAACCCCTATTATCAAGCGCTGCGGAACTGATTGCGGAAGTCAAGCATAGTGACGTGGAGGTTTCCGTAATATTACTCTTCCGCCTCCAGCCTTTCCTTAACCTTCCTACACCCTTAGTTCTCGAAGTTTATCGATAACTAGACAAAAAGTAGGGGTAAAGAAATATAACCACAGAAAAACTTCTAGAATGTTTTGCGGATCCCTCTTAACACGTTGACGACAGCGCAGGACACATACGTCCCGCACATTGCAGGCCATGACGGACAGCGCGGGACGTATGTGTCCTGCACCCATTACATTCATTTTTTCAGCGCACGCGTGATTCTTTTAAGTTTCTTGTGTTTATTCCATGGAAGAAACCCTAGCATAGCTACAAACATAGTAGCTCGTGAAATGGTCACGTATATTTTAATTTAGGAGGAGGATTTTCGAACCGCACGAAATTTTAAGTCTGATTAATTTTTCGTTTCCATTTTCTCTTCATGAATGTGAAGGTTAAAAGAGTAGTAGGAAGTAAATAGGTGACCTAAGAGATGATGAACATTTGTGTTTTTGTTAAAATGATTGAAGTGAAACAGCTTTTGAGGTCAATTGCAGCTAATTCTGACAATTTTTGCATTTTCATTGTTATTTCAAGTCTTTGTATCGAAATTCCATTACTATACACCCTTGCAAGCTTTGTTCACTTGAATCACTGTTTCAATTTTGTATCACCCATGTTTTATGTATTTAGCACTCAAAATCCGCTTGAATTACCTGAGGCGGCCGCGCTCGCAAAATCGCGCCGGTCCCACGCGGCCAAAAAAGCCAAAACGCGCGTTGTCGTCAACGTGTTAAATCTTCTCGGCGCCATTTGATCTTGACGGTTCTCACTTCACGCTTGACCCTGATGACCGTGTGGATGAGAGACATATGGGATGTCGATTCAGCGCCACACAATGTGCCACTTATCCCCTCAACGCGGCCAATATTCGTGAATTCTACTTGTTGGAAGGAATTTTTTTCAGGCTTTCTATCCTCTAAATATGACAGTCGGTGTCAACTACACAGTATGCTACGGTAAGTCCTGTCCTCTTCATTCCGTTTTTGTTCATTCTTACTGGAGGACGACTTTTAGCGAACTAGAGCGATGACTGCAGTGACGGGCTGCTTGACACAACGTCGATCCAGGATCACCTGTACTATTTCAACGTCGACGTGAGCGCATACGGCATTAACGGCTGCAACACAACAATGGATCCTACAAATGCGCAGTAGCTACCAAAGCCTGCAACGAATAGTTGTCTCAAGTTGCGGTCACATTTGAAACTAGTAAAGCCCTCGTCCACCCAGTCTGCAAAGCCTCACCCCCTTTGAATCGCTCCTGTTCTGAGACTCAAAGGCACTGGTCGAAATTGAATGCTTAGAGGAACTCTCTCTGAAGTGAGGTGGCAGATTTCCTGCTAACAGCGGTAGTGAAACTGTCACTACTTAAAGCCAGGAGTCAGGATTAGGCAACCGACAGAAGTTCTTCCCAGGGTGCGATAGTGGGCTCCCCAAGCACTGAGGGCGCGACACTATCGCGACCCAAAAGTGCGCGGCAATGGCGCTAAGGCCTTGCCCGCCGCGCTGCCCGCGCTGCCAGCGTAATCCACCACGGCATACGTGGTCTCTGCGTCCTCTCGCGTACGACGTACTATCTCGCGTTCTCCCTCTCCTCGCAGCGCTGTGTCTCTCCGTCGTACTACGGCCGGCCTCCTAAGGGAAATTTTTTCTATGGTGCTTTTTGCTTTTTCTCCTCACTAATGTTCCTCATTGCACCCCTTGCCTAATGTTTGAACAAAATAACGCATCAGTTCAATCCCGACTCGTGCCTTTAAAGGGGCGCGACAACGGAGAAAACACCTCTACTAAACAACTGACAAGGGAAGGATACCAGGTCGAAGTGGCCATTTGTAACGAGACATACACCACTAGATGTGTTTTTGGACGCTGATCTCGAATCTGCTCTCCAAATCTGCGAAACGATTCTCTGAACGTAGTTATGAAGCGAGATAGTGCAGTGGCAGCGGCCCGGGACGAACAAGAGGTCGTGAGTTCGAGTTCTTGGCGAGTTCTCACTTTTGCTTTTCTTGTGAACGTTGTTTAAGGGACTCTTATCCATGCTAAGTTATCAGCGATTGCCTATAGCACAAGTAAACAGAGCTGGCGAAGAGCTTCGAGCACTGTGCGCGTCATTTGCAAGTGACCGCCTCTGACACCCGTAGCGCACGCGTAAGGCAATTTCGTGCCAAGCAGATGCGATATTCGTGTTCAGCGCGTCGAAACACCCCTTTCAACAACATTTGGTCCAAATCTAAAATTTTGACTTGAAGTCGAAAATGTGGGCAGTCATCATCACCCACTGTCAGAGCCTGATCGTGGGATTGAATTAAACTTTCAGTCATTATTGTGAAAGAGATATAGTTGCCTGCTCTACTTGCTCGTGCCATCCGAAGATTAATATGATATTTTTTCATGTACACGCTCGCTGCCCAGGAGGAGCAGGAGGGTAGTGGCTGGGGCTAGGGATAACACCTACGACTCATTGTAGACCGAGTTTCGAAATTGGGTCCAAATGTCAGCTTTCTAGAATTAAGCCTTCAAAGATAGTTTGGTCCGTTGAGCAAGCATCTCCCATTTGTTTAGCCCATCGTCGGATATACGTCACTTCCGTGGCGTAGAAACACCCCGACAGTGGTCGAAACATTACGAAAAAAGTGGAATGCGTTAAACAAACCCCTCTAAACATGCGTTAGCTTTGGACGCAGTGAAAATTTCAACACTGAATAATTTTTTATATTTAAATTAGACCTAATTACAAAAAGCAAAAAATTCATGCCCAGCAAGATCCCATCCATGGTCTTACCACTGGAAGCCGCCAACACTACCACTCGGCCAAGCCGCCGCTGGAAGCCGAGCTCTGCCGGAGTCTCTTACAGTGGGCTTTCATTTGAAACAACCTCCGTAACACTTTTCAGAGAATCGTTTCGCAAATTTGGAGAGTGGATTCGAGATCAGCGTCCGAAAACACATCTCTGAGTATAGGTTTCATTACGGATGGCCACTTCGACTTGGTATCCTTCCCTTGTGAGACCGCTACCATCCTTATCGACATGATAATACAAATACGTTCCGTCTGCGCTTCGCCCCTCCCTCGCTCTCTCTTCCGGTTTTCTCTCTGTCTATGCCGTACGTCCCCGCCGTTCTGCGCTGATCTCATAAGAAAAATGTCCGAGCTTTCCGTGGTGCTACTTAATCTTTTTCCAACCAACGTTTCTTGCCACTCTTTTCGTTTGATTACTGGACAAAAAAGGCGCCAACTGGATCGCGACCGGTGCCCTTAACATGCATTATTTCACTGTCATGCTTGTAGAGAAGTTACCTAAATTGTACAGGTAACTGGCAGTCCCGTGTTATTGTTTTGTTCGATGGTCATTTTAATGAGTGAAATAAACCTTCAGCAGCAATTAAAATTTGAATTGAAGAGAACGGGAAGCAGGTATGGCAACCATCAAAAAACAAGTTCCAGACCTGCGCTGTATTGACCAGAGCGGTAAAAGTGGAAAAACGTATACATCGACGATGTCGCGTCGACTGCATGCTGTTTATCCGTTTGACTGACGCTACAGATGATGAATTGTGTTAACTGGCAGCGGGTCCTATGCACCATATTTGTGGTAATTTATGATTTTGTTACAGTGCCCGCGTACCAAAAAGTTGAAACTTTTCTTAATCAATAGAGCCAGTTAGAGTTGTTAGCGAAACTGCAGTTAATAAGCCTTTGCTATCGACGTTCAGCGCCTTTGCCAAGCCTGACTATATTGAAGGCAAACCTCGGGATTAGTCCAACTAGTAGGAAGGGTACTGAGAAGTCTGTACCTTCATAAATCGTGCCAGCTTCTTTGCTCAAATTGCGCAATTAGGGCGCTATTCTACTGACCAGCAATCATCGACCCCCGTTGCAACGCTTCCCACCCACCCACTGGCGTGGAGCTCAGTGATCTCCTGCTTGCTTTGCTTTGTTTAATCACCCTGTCTCGCCATCGTACCACATCCGACGTTACAGTAGGTTAAGGCCTTAATTTTAGCGTTTCCGATGATTTCTCTTGCTTCCTTTCCACTTTCAGTTCTTTCCGCAGCTCAGTCATCACTACAAAGCGCCCGCATACACCAGTTTTGTCCCAGGCTTGCCTCAAGTGTTTTTATAGGGAGATTGGTACTTCGCTTCCAGTGCCGATCACTGCGTTCATACGATAAATTGAAAGTTTGAGTATCATGATTCACGCCTTTGCTACTTATTCCTGTTGTTAAAATTTATAATTCCAGCGCCTCTGACACTTTTTTTTCACTGTATTTTCGATAGAACGATGTGGGACCTGGATGTGAAGGTCTAGAGAGTCCTCATGGGTGTGTTTTAAAACTCTGTGTCTAGAGGAATTGTTGCAAAGCTATGAAGCAGGCTCTTGAAGAGCTCCCCGCTCCCGCAATGGTGATTTATTTGCTTATAGAAAACTTTCAGTTATCCGTGCTCATTTTTGGCCCCACTCCTCACATTACACACTCTCGGCAATAACCACAAAGTATTCCTCTCAGTTGTCTTCGCAAGGTCTGGCGTTCGTGAGCTGTCGTTTCGGGTGGTGGAAGGAATATTAACTTCACTTTGAACGAGCAATTCATAATGACGTCCCTGACGTTCCAAGCCGCATTTTCATTGATGTATAATACTCGATTCACCTACCTGCGTTGCACGCGGCTGGTTGGTCTATCATTGATGTTTTGGACAATTCCTAGTTCGTCGCTGGAGCCCAAGCTCATCAGATCTTTTTCGTCTTTTACACGATTTTTTTTTGATTTCTTAAATTTATGGGTTCTGTTTTGTGTTTTGTTTTTTCCATATGGGTATTCGGAGTGAGTTGTTTTCCTTGACCCCAAATTTGTTGAGCTGTGTGGTCGACTTTTTTCTTACAATTGATTTGATTCTCGATCATCCACCTGACCATGTCTCGCGCTACTCACAGGCAGGGTCTGTCCTATCGTTGTTACTTTTCGAAAAATTTTTACGACCCCCCTCCCCCAAGGTGGATTTGATACGACCCCCTTTTCCCTACCTCCACCATCTCCATCTTCCATCAAAACCCCGCCCACTTTTTCACTCTGAAACGGTAAATATCTCCGAAAATTTCCTTCTATTTCCACCATTTCAACCCATTTTTTTTACCTCCTGCGCGCCCTCCACTCGCCCAGCCTACTACCCACGAAATCTTAGTTTCACCTCAATCCCACACGTGATTTCGAGCGACTAAAGTGGGTACGACCCCCCCCCTCCTACAAACTCAACCAGGTACGACCCCCCCGTTGTTACTCGTAACAACGTAGGGTTGACCCTGCTCGCAGGGCAGCCAGTTCTGAAACGCCTTGAGCCCTCTCCCAGTGGGCAGTTGCTTTGATGAATGCTGATGCTCTCGATGATTTCGATTTCTCCACCGTTACTGCTTCAGACTTCAAAGGACTTCTGGTTAGGAACGCGATCCAAATCAATAAAATGCTTCTCGCACTGTAGAATAAATTTCTTGTCAAGGTGTTCAACACAGCGAACAAAGAAATGCGCACGATGCACTGCAAGTCCGAGGTTACTTAGGCTGAGACTTGGCACGAGCGCGTCCGAGGAGAGAATAAAACAAGATTTGTGATGTACTTGACAACCCCACATCTTTCCGTAGAAATTTACAGGATGGGCAAGATGCTTACTTGCGCGCAGGCCTATTCAGATGTGTTGTCCTCTAGAACACACGCTATCACGGCCCTATGCTCAATTGCACATTCTCCTTGTTTTCTAGCGTATTTATACAGAGCTGACTTTGAAAGAGTGCAACGCGTGACACTGAGCTTTGTCAGAAAGCCGAGCAGTGGGATACTGAGTGTAACCGAACGATGTGGGCGATTTGTCGGGGTGACTTTAAGGATGTGGAAGGCTTCGAATCTTCGTCAGTATTGGAGCCCATCTTGAGAACAGGGCAAGCACTCATCAATGAAAGGCCAGATTAAAATGTTGTCTTTTCAATGCATGATGCTTTACTAGTATGATCTAACACATTAACACACTTTTCCGTTTATGACCCAGTTTTGAGATTTGATCAGTGAATCACGGTTTAGTGAAAAAATTTCTGGCAAACAATCGGTTATTGGATTCCTCTACAATGTTCTGATCACAAAGTTGGAAGGGCAGAGGCGTAACCTGGCTTGGAAATTCTCTAAGTCTTACTCAGTAAGCATTTAGGGATAGAAATTTAGTGTGACTGTTGCGATGCGGCTTTTTGAAGTACCCCACTGCTGGGGACGTTAGATTCATTCCACTATATAGGCCTAGTATACATTACCTTAGGATGTCCACACACTTTAGAGAAAAGGGCAAAAACTTTCCATCGAAAATAGTTTGCTAATAGGAAGAAACGTTCTGCCGAAGTTATCAATGTAGGTTGTCGGCCACGAGGAGTTGACTGATTGAGGTTCCACGGCAGCAAAACTCACTCGTAGACACCCAAACATCCATTTCACAGTATCCATAGAGTTTTCGATAAGCAATGTATACTTTTTCGGCCTTCACTTCTCCATAAATGACTAGCTGCTAAACGTGAACAGTACTATAAGTGCAATCCATTGTAGTGGATGAGTGCACCTCCACCGAAGTTATCAATGTAGGTTGATGTCGGACGACGGTAGTTCACGCCAGCGCATGACGTCATTTTGGATTGTACTCAAATGCCGAATAATGCAGAAAACGTATGCACAAGGTGCAATATGACACAGAATGACGTGAGGCTAAAATCTATTCAAGTTCGAATGGTTAACGACTAACTTTTAAAATAGCTCAAAATACTTCGAGGTTGTACACTATGCAGAACGGAGTGGCATATTGAAGGTCAAACAGGAGGCTTTCACCTCGTCAGGTTCTCATCCCTTACCGCCGGCAGAATGGAAAATGCTTAACTCTTCCTCTCTATATCTGTTTTATATACTTACGCCCACATTGACAGATCTCCCTCTTAGATTTTGTGAGATTTTGTCTTTCTCATTACACGGATTAGGTCGGCATAGGACAAAGGTTACCTAATCAACATGCAAAATTTCAAAGTTCGAATTCAACGGACGGCTTCAATCTGAAGGACTAAGGCAGCTGCAGCTTAAAGGCAAAGGTCGGGCTCAGGCACGCTAGAGAAGTAATTCCCGTGCCTGGAGGTTGTATGTGGGTAGCTGCACACATTGCAGCAACTTCCCACCTTGAAAAACCCGTTAAGGCCCCGGGCGTTCGGTTTCAATCCAGGACCGCCCACCTCCGGAAGTGGTGCGTGGCTGTGAAATCAGCTAGGTTGATTGCCGTATCAACCGATAGAACGACTGACATCTCCAGAAAACTTGTTTGTACGTGCCTCTTTCCCAAGCCAGCCTCCTTCACTGCTAGTGGGAAAGAGGGTTTTGTTAACGGCCTTGTCGACGGTTTTTCTCAGTTTTTTCTCCACTGTCGTTCCACTTCGCATCTCTATACTCAGTTTCAATCGCCATAATACCCCCTTATTGAGCCCGACTTTTGCCTTTAAACTCACCACCGCATAGGATTCAATTTCCTTCCCTGCCAAACAGGCCCTTTGACATCGCTTTTATCTCCACGTAACGCTGTTGCCCAAGGATCAGCAGGTCTCTTCAAGATCTCGTACCTTTGCTCGGTCAAGCCCCTACACTATTTCGAATAATGTCCTCATCACGGCATAAGCCTGAGCAACGAATGGCATAAAGTCGTTCTCATTCTGTGGAAACTTTCCGTTCTTTTCAACGAGTTATTTTTTGTAAAACAACAGGTCCTTACAAGAAGTGGTCAGCTACAGACGTACAAGTCTATAGCAAAGTCCCTTCTTGGCGAAGCGAGCGATAGAAATGTTGTCAGCTTCACGAATGTAAGTGACCGGTCAATTTTAAAGCATGCTTGAACAGAATTTTGCAAGCGTTAAGAAAATCCATCCAGGCAGGTTCCGAAGCTTCCGGATCTCTTTGTGCAATGTCCACAGAAAAGTTTCATAAGAAGATTTAAAATAGTTTCAGCACTATGCTGCGCCTTTTCGCTTTCTGCAGCGTTCTCCAATTTGTATTGGCATTTCCTGTAGAAATTCAGAGAGCGAACTACTCGGATAAGTTCGTCCGCACGAAAATGTTGCCATTGGCAGCAGCCGCCTATAGTCACTCTCCACAAGAGTGCCTTGAAAATTGCTTTGCTAACGCAACGGTAGAGAAAGTAGTCAGATTAAAGGAATTGTCATTATTTGAGTCACAGTACCAGATAATTCAGCTGATACGGCAGTTGAATGTGACATGTGGGCCTCTTGAAAAGAACGATGTATGCTCTAGATTTACGGTCGTGGTCTACGGCAACAATGCGATTGTTATTAGTTTCAGGTAAGGGAAGAGCGTTAGAACTTTTCTTGCAGAATCTTTCCATAAGAAAGCTCCCAAGGATTGCAGCACTCTCAGCTATGTTTTCAGAGGAACAGACACGTATTTCCAACTCGCTGCAGAAGCCGACCTCAGCGTGTTCCATGAAAAGGTATTTTTCATCATGTGGTATGTGGGTAATCTAAGTCAGTTTCACTGAATCTTAAAGTTTGAGATAACTTGTGAGTAATATCTCGGATTGAGATGGGGCCGCGTGCAGGTTGTAAAAGTGCATGCAGGTGCAGACAAGTATCCCTAGAGTATCCCTAGAGTGTCTCCTTAGGTACTGGAGACCATCTCACATAGCTGTAAACCAAAGCCACGCCCCCATATACTGTCGATTCCTCTTCTAGTCAGTCAGTCTGGAGTTTTAAGCCCACGGGATGCATGCAAATCGTGAACTCTCTCGGAGTAGGAGGCTCGCTCAAAGATAGAGCTCTAGCTTTTTATAATAACCTCAGGACCTATTAACAGAAGAAATGGAGCGCTGGTGGATACGTGTCGAAATACTTCTACGACGGCTTCATAGACTTGTGGAATGCCGGTATGAGACGATTTCATAGCGCTCAGAGCAAAAAATCCTAGATACAATGTTTGGGTAAGTAAATAAAATTTTATTCAAAGTAACTTGTTGAGATGATGTGCTCAGAAGTAGTCGCTCATGTGTATGATCAAGAGGGGGGTTTCGAGTGCTATTGTTGAAAGAAACACATCAAGTTGAAATAAAACGTTCTATCTTTCGGAACTAGGAAATTGTTCCAAAAAAGCACCTTTAAGGTGACGGGGCACTCTCTTGGAGGTGCACTGGCCTCATTAGCTGCCTCCTTCATTATTGCTAACGATCGAGTGCCATCCGGTCGATGAAATTGGTCACATTTGGACAACCACGAGTTGGTGACTATTGTTTTGCATGGGCCCATGACCAACAGGTACTCCTAGAGCTTGTATATTTGTCACTGGTACCGTACCCTACGTCATTCCGGTTACTTTCTTGCTAGTCTCCTTCGATGACCGCAACGATAGCATCCGATGCCTGCCTAGTCTTGAATGACAGATGATTTTTCAGCAACCATAAAATATCCTCTTCTTTCAGATGGCATACAGTTTTCGCATAACGCACTGGAGAGACTTGGTGCCGCATATTCCGCCCAAGAACTTCTTAGACTACTATCATCACGCCTCAGAGGCTCGTTTGGCACTGAGTTCGACGACTTTTTGCAGCTAAGGAGAGGCCGGCCGATCCTAATATTTGAATCATATGTAAATATAAACCAACTTAAACCTATCGAATAGTCGTATTCAGCAAAAACACAACCCTCAAGCGTTGCGGAGGTTTGTGGTCAATCATGGTGACGAGGAGGCGTCCCTACTACTACACTTCCCTTTTCGATAATTCATATTATCTCGCCTTCTATACCCCAATTTTCCAAATTTACTCTGAAAAAATGAAATGGTACGGAGTGTTATAGCGGTATCAAAGAAAAAACTCAAAATCTCCTATGAGTACATATCCACGCACACACGGTAACGCTCCTCCATCAACACACAACTATCACCCTTGCTACAAGTCAAATACGACCTTTCTTGCCTGATTTTAGTCTATAAGGCTTTTCAACTCATGATTAGACTCGTAGATCGTGTTGATGGGAGATGTACGGGTTATCAATTCACCAATAGGCAATACTTCACTTATCTACTCAACAAGCTTAAGGCCATTTGTGAAGGGGAACTTTCTTCAGGCCTTCTATGCGCTTAATATGACAAGTGGCGCCAACTACACAGTATGCTACGGTGGGCGATTCTTTTACCTTCATCGTGTTCCCGCTTTTATTCAAGAACAATTTTCAGCCAACGAGAGCGATGAGTGCAGTGACGGACTGCTTGACACAACGTCGATCTATGATCACCGCCACTATTTCAACGTGGACGTGAGCGCCTATGGTATCAACGGCTGTAACACAACAATGGATCCAACAAATGCACAATAGGTACCAATGCCTATGATCCATAGTCGCCTCATGGTCAGATCGCGACCACGGTTGGCACTTTCCGAAAGACTCAGTTGCTGGACTTACACATTCCTCAATGCGATCTTGTCCTTAGATTGACATGCACTGTTTCACTGCCATTCTTCTAGATTGGATAGTTGGAAGTGTATAGATATTCAAAGTGGCCTGTCCTTGATCCACTGAATCGTCATCTCAATGAATAATAAATCTTGTAGTAATCAAGGCTTGTGATTTACCGGATGTGCTACCCAGGATTCGGGTGGGTTCATTCTGTTTACACGAACGTGGTGTTGGTTATTGATCACATCGAACAACAGAGGAGGCTTTTCGCTAGAGATCATTGGCCTATTACCACATTCCGATAGATGTCTAGCTGCTTTGATTTGCTGGTGTCCCCTTTCGTCATCCGTGTTTTCCCTTGATTGAACAATTCCAGATGTAGTTCGCAGGGTAAAGGCGGTCAATAATGAGTCTATCGATGTCGCGTTGACTGCAAATGAAAAAAAATTAAGAAGAACTACCTACGAAGCTCCTAAACGAACTCCCCCTGTTCTCCTTTGAAATGAGGGAGGAGCGGTAGTGCGAGTTGCAGGAACCTGATTGAAAAGAACCGATATCATAAAGGCCTGCAACTAATTTCTATTGTTAGGGAGAGACATGTAGCTTCCGATCATTACAGTTTTCAAGACAAAAACGGCGCATGTTTGGTCACGAAGACCTCAGAATTCAAGCGCAAGCGGGAGAATCACGGTTTGAAGGACCGAAATCAATTAGTTCCTGTAGTCCCGAAAGATCACACATGTCCACGCAGCCAAGCGCGGCTAGCAAGCGCGGAGAAAAGGAATACGAGAAAAATGTGTTGGCACATGTACAAGCCCCTTCTAGCGGCTTTTGCAGGTAAGTTTTTCTTGAATAGTGCTTACGCATCTTTCTCACATCATTAGTATCGAAAGTATTGATCCTGCTGGGACTGTTGCTTCGATATTTGTTGATAGGATTTATATGCATTCTCTGTGCACCACTGGCACAACATAAGGCCGTTACCACCAAGCATGTCAACGTTCGCAGCAGGGGTAAGTGATCCTGAAAAACTTTTTGAGTGGCTGCACAACTGAGTCAGGTACATACATAATCAGCTGTGCAGACCCACGGTCGAATCGACTGAGTCACCGACTATGAACGCGACATATGGAGGAGTTTTGATAAAAAGGTTTGGAACCTACCCCGAAGGCCTTGCAGTGATCCGCGAGAACCACCATTATAAGAAAACGTTTAGGAGAATGAAATAGGGATGCTTTCATAATTTGCATCAATGCGGACGTTGCGGCCCGTGCGGACGCTGGGGATGGTGCGGAGAGAGTGAAAAGCGTCAATACGCGCACTGGCGCATGACGCGTACTTGGCGTGCAATCGGTAGCTTCCGATCGATAATCTCTATTTCGATGCATTCTTTCGATTTTTTGAAGTGTTTGGGTACTGCTGTCTTGCTCTCGTTCGTGTTTTTTTGCGCAAGACTTTTCCATTTTTGTGGCAAATATTGTCATTGCTCACCGATGGTCTCATTGAGGGCTTACCGCCCTTTCAGATGCAACTACACAGTACTCATTCAAGGACAAATGACAAATATTGATTAGAAGGTAAAAAATCTAAGCCAGAAAAACACTGATGAAAGCAAGACGACACATAAAATATCAAAAAACAAGCAGGAAAACATATCGGAACTCGAATTCTCGATCGGAACCGACTATACGCCAAGTACGCGTCATGCGCCAGTGCGCCTGTTGACGCTGTTCACTCTCTCCGCACCGACCGCACCGTGCGCACGGACGGCAACGTCTGCAACGGTGCAAAGAAGCCTAAGGGATAAAGCGGGTGGCTCTGTACGAACGACGTTATGCTCATATGATATAATCCACAATTCGTATGAGACGATTGCCCCTATATCTCCCTTCTACATAGTATTCATTTATTGTCTATACAACAAAAGCAACATCGAAGCAAATAAGTTGCCTGTTAATGGCCTTCCTTCCCATTTTCCCGTTTATTTTTTCAAAAAGGAAAAGAGAAAATAGAAAAACGCAGAAATCGAATTACAGATGGAATTGCTGTGCATTCCCTCTCAATTGATGCTATCCTGTCTGAGCTCATGGGAGGGGATGACAGGGTTTTGCTGTGGGACCCATCTGCCTGTGGGTGCTGCAGTATCATTCTGCTATTCTCTACCAGATTGAGCTGCTGTAACTGTTTGTAAAGTGGAAATGAATAGGTATGGCGGGTCCTACAACGCAACCATGTCTTCCACAATTTTGGGATATGTTCGAGGTGTGGTACGCGTTCGCAGGTCGCATGCGGCTCCAAGTTCAAACCGCTCTCAGGCCAATCTTATCAAATTCAAATTTTGGCTCAGCCTTTCCCTACTCACATCTCTTCACTTCGCAAAAGACTCCCGTTGTGTCCGGTGGCTAAACTTACGTGGCTCCAAAAGGTCGAACCTTAAAGGCAGCGATTACGATAGATCTCAAAGGATATTCCATGTACGACTCTCAATTAATCTCGGCATGATTGTATGTACAGTTGTAATTGCTTCTGTTCAAGCTTCCGAGATTGATATACGATTTATCCGGCTAACGTTTCGGCGCACTCGCCTTCTTCGGAGCCTGCAAATCGAAGCATCTTTTTGAAACAATTCGTCCAAGCAACATTTCAGATTACAAGAAAGAAAAACTAAGGGAGAATAAGCCATGAACGATGTCGTAACCCGCTAACCTTTGTAAAAGCCGAGCGTTAGAAGGCACCCTTTGCTGAAGACCGTGCAGTGAGGCTTTTATATGTGCTTCGCACCTTTGGGGTCGGGTCATATGGCTAAAGGGAACCCCCAGGAATTTTGAATTTGAATTTAAGGGTCAGATTACAAATTTTTGATGCCCCCAGGATTGATCACGTAGATCAATACCCCTAGAGACCGCCGAAATGATGGTACCTGCTGATCGCCGCGCATCTCACCAGTCCATCGATTTTTGTAATGAAGCCTGGAACCCCGCCTCGGCGCCCCGCGGGGTATCAAAGCTTCAGCAAAGGGTGCCTTCTAACGCTCGGCTTTTACAAAGGTTAGCGGGTTACGACATCGTTCATGGCTTATTCTCCCTTAGTTTTTCTTTCTTGTAATCTGAAATGTTGCTTGGACGAATTGTTTCAAAAAGATGCTTCGATTTGCAGGCTCCGAAGAAGGCGAGTGCGCCGAAACGTTAGCCGGATAAATCGTATATCAATCTCGGAAGCTTGACAGAAGCAATTACAACTGATCTCAAAGGGGTTTAGAGGGGACGTGGGGGTCTCAATAGTACGCCAATGGCGAAAAAAGCAAAGAAATCCGTCAAAAATAAGCAAAATAGTACCCCTTTGATTGCCCTTTCATTTTCGACCATGGATGAGCGACGGTAAAGAATGACGTTGTTCGGACGTGTTAACCCCGATAGCCGCCATCATGCCAACAAGCATAGTGTTTTGATTGATAAGGCAA